TGGACTTGGAGTTTTAATTCGACAATGATTTGTTTTCAAATGTTCAGGTGACTCATCTGCTTGGGGTTCTTGGGTTTGGGGGCTTCTGTTTCCTTTTGGGAGCGAGTGAGTGAAGCAAATTGATTGATGGAGTGATTGGAATTTATTTTTAAGGCGTTTGTTGATTTGTTTATTTTTTTCTTCTCATTCTCTGTGGATTTTCAATTCTCAGGACCTCAAGATATACCTTATGTATATTGTTTGTTCTATGTCATCTTTGTTCCTCTTCGGTGGATATATTATCGTTTCAAGAAATGGCATTACTATCTTTTGGTAAGCGCCAGTTATATCTTACAAGAATATCCGCTACTGTTTCTACTAATTTTAGGAACCTTTATTTGTTTTGAAGTAATTGGAGTTTTCCGCTGGAAGATACTGCCACTTCTTTTTTTTTTTCTTATAGGGGAAAAAAACTAATGGGAGGTTCTGTTATATGGATATTATGCCGGTAATTGTTGAGTGGATTAAACTGGTGTGGATTAAGCAGTGTTTTTATAGTCTTATTGCACGGTCTACCATAAAAAAAGTAGTTCTAAATGAGAAATCCAGTCCTATAGCAAAATGATGAGGAACCTCTTTTAACAAACTGAGGCAATTATCTTAGAACAAACTTTATGCAATGTTTTAGTTGTTTATGGTCTGCTTTTTCCTTTTGCTTTTGGCACTTAGAAAGTCTAAGTTGACTATAAGAGAGATGCAGTGAATGTAGATAATACTAGCAATTGGTAGTTGCCAATTAAATGTGGTAATAGGCAGTTTAGTATGCTTGTCATTTATGGTAGATGAAGGAAGCTATTGCTATATTTTTTTTTCTTTTGGCTTTCTACATGCATAAACACGATATCTAATTTCTCAAAGGGCAACACTCCGGCCACTGAGCTGTTCTGCTTACCCATGTTTTTTTCTTAAATTTATAAGTTTGTTGATTCAACTAGAGATGAAAAATGTGGAAATTGATGCAATGTTCATATGTCAGGATTTTTGCTATTATGCCAACACAATTTTCCTGGTTGACTTTCTTCTATATCCAAAGAATGAAAAACTTTTCATGGTTTGCTTTTCATTTGCTGAGGTAAGGTATCAACACAGGGTTATATGCACCTTTTGGTATATAAAATTCCATTCAAGACTCCTTTTTCACTCTTCTTAATGCTGTTTTAGGGGCCACTAGCATGGGCAATAATTGTTTGGCGTTGTAGCTTGGTTTTCAGTTCTGCTGATAAAATTGTTAGCGTCCTAATACATCTTTTACCTGGTAAGTTATAGACATTCTTCATCCATTACCTGTTGACTAGAAACTTCTTATTATTGATTCTTGCAAAAGTTACAAGAATTGGTATTTTACTCTCTGCACAATACATCTGGAAGATAGTGATAAATTCGTTATACCTAGTTTACACTGATATTTTTTTCTTACGCTCTAAGGATGGAAAGCACTTTTTGTAAGATTTTAACGTAAGCACTCTTTAGAGTGTTTGGAAGCATGACCGCTAGGCTTTTGTCTCTGGTTCAGTTTAAACTGTTAGTTAGTCATGGTATATTTTATCTTAGATATCATGATGTTGTTTGTTATTGACAGTTATATATATATATATATTTTAATGTGAATGGAGAAGTTGGTAAAAAATAGTCTTCTAGGGTATTTTTTATGTTTATTGTGATAAATTTTATCTAAAACAAACTATTATTCTGCTTTTGTGTTAAATATAAGTTAGGCGTTCTCATCTTATGCTTTGACAGGCATTTATCAAAAGTAGATTTGTAATAAGAGTTCTTGTTCAAACAGTAGTCATATGCTGCAATTAAGTTTTGTCATTAAAAAAGTTTGGTACCTGGGGCATTATGCACAGTAAAAGAGGCCAAATTAATGTTCTGCCCATTTTGCTACAATGTCATTTGATTTGAGCTTTCTAATACTTGTCTTCTCAGGACTTGTATTTTTCACTATTAGATGGTGGAATCCAGCAACGTTTGCAGCTATGCATCCTGAAGGCACTGCTCGCAGAGTTTCATGGCCTTATGTAGAAGACAAATCATACCTGTTGCAATGGCTGTTTCTGGTACCCTTAGTTGCATACACTCTCTGGCAAGTTCTTTATTTTCTCATTGTCAATGTTCTTCGTCGCCAGAGATTGTTAAGAGATCCTGAGGTGATGACTTCTTATAGGTACATAAAACACAGAGAGAAATGCAATGTCTCCAATGATGAAGTGTTCTTTATTTTGTTGTTTGCCTATTTTGCCCTCTGATCTGATCATTATTTTCTTGATAGGGAGCTTTCTAAGAAAGCGCAGAAAGCAAACAACATCTGGTGGCGATTAAGTGGTTTGCTTGGGGATCAGAATCGCCTGTTAATGTACATTTTGTTCCAAGGAATCTTTACTGTTGCAACCATGGCACTAACCGTCCCCATTTTCTTGTCATATGAATTGCATGCTATTTTCCAAATACTCAATGTTTCTGCTGCTGTATGGAATGGAGGAAGCTTTCTGCTAGATGTCATGCCTAGCAAGTGATTCTCAAAGAAAGAGAAATCAGAGAGCAGCTGTACAACTCACTGACAGCTCTGCCGTACTGAAACTC